ACTGGGGGAAAAAAATTCTGGAAGAGGAGCTGTGGGGAGATAGAAAGAGGGGTAAGGGGCTGGGAGAGGAGGAGAGGGGAGGGATGATGATGTCTCTCCCCTCCCCCCCATTCCCTCCCCTGACCAAGTCAACTCTCCTGGCTTTCGTGGAGGAAAGACTCCAACCAAACTGGACAAAGGTCTAGCTGAGTCTGCGGGGAGGCTGGGGCTTCCGGCTGGCCAGGCCACTGAGTAAGCACCCGGCTGATGGGCTGATAGCACGGGGCTCTGTCTGCTGAGGGGAGCCTGTCATTTGTCTGCTTCCTTTGCTGGAGGAGCAGGCGTGTGGCGGGATTAGATGACTGGGCTGAGCAGAGACAGCGCAGGATGCTGAGTTGGACAAAATCAGACCTTGATTCTGCCCGGGGGGACTTGGCCTCCGATGCTGGCTGGCCACCTAATCGGCACTGGAGAGGGTGGGGGGCCGCTCACTTCCCAGCCTAGGACTTCTGGTAACAGGTCACCAGGCCAAAAGGCAATGAAACTGGGAACAAGTGAGTGATGCCCTAACTCCCAGACCACAGCCTCGAAGACCTCTGGTGCTCCTGGCCCCCAACAGACTCCACATCCAACAAAGACATCCAAATGCCAAGGGACCACTCATAACTCACACTTGAAACGCCTCAGGAGGCTGAGATCCAGAGGATCACTGTTGAGGCCAACAGAAAAGTCCTCAAGACTCCATCTCCAAACCAACCCGCAAAAAACCAGGCTGGAGGCATGGCTTAAGTGGTAGAGCGCCAGCCAAGCAAGTATGAGTCCTGAGTTCAAACCCAAGTACCAGAAAATAAACAAATACTTCAAGATACCCCTGGGTGCCAGCTCCAGGGCTGGACACTTCACATAGTTTGGTCTTCTGCACAACCCAGAAGCTGTTACGGCTATTCCTTCTATGCTACACTGGAAGAAAGGGATGCAACCATACTTCCAGGAAGAAAGGGACACAGAGTACTTCCCCTATAGTCCAACTGTTACCCAGCCTGTCCTTTCTTGCTAAAGTGCACCTGCAGGCTAATGGTCATGCTCCTTCTGTGTGCCTAGCTCTCATTCTCTCCCAAATCAATTAGCACCTCAGCCTTTCTCCTTCTCATTCATCCTCCACGCAGCTATTAGATGAAGATCCTTAAAACACAGAAATTAGGGCTGGGAAGGTGGCTCAGTGGTAGAGTGCTTGCCTAGCATGCATGAAGCCCCAGGTAAGATTCCTCAGTACTACATAAATAGAAGAAGCTGAAGTGGCGCTGTGGCTCAAGTTGATAGAGTGTTAACCTGGAGCAAAAGAAGCTCAGGGACAGTGCTCAGGCCCTGAGTTCAAGCCCTGTGACTGGCAAAAAAGAACAAAAACAAACACAGCAATTAGAGGTTGTGGCTCAGTGTGTGCTTGCCTAGCAAACAGAGGGCCCTGGGCTCTATCCTCAACACAAACACAGTTGTTTTGCATCAATCTCTAGCCTGGAGCATCCTGGGTACACTGGCTCAAGGCCAAAGCCTCTCAGGTGTTAGTGTACATACGCCTCAACAGCTGGTGCTTTACCACTTGAGCCATGACTCCACTTCCAGTTTTTTGGTGGTTTATCGGAGTAAGAGTTTCATGGACTTTCCTGCCTGGGCTAACTTCAAACACTCATCCTCAGATCTCAGCCTCCTGAGTAGTGAGGGTTACAGGGGTGAGTCACCACCCAGCACTCAGGCTCAAGGTTCCAAATTTCTAGTAAGACTTTAGAACTGCCATTTTAGGGACTACACTGAGCTCTTCCAGATCAAAACCTTCTGAGTACTTGTCTTCAGGGCCTACTCTGCCATTTGAGTCACACTCCCAACTCCCTTTGCTTCAGGGTTTTGTTTTTTTGTTTTTGTTTTGATCATGGGGCTTGAACTCTGGGCCTGGGCACTGTCTCTCTGCTCTTCAGCTCAAGGCTGGCACTCTACCACTTGAGCCACAGCACTACTTCAGGCTTTTTCTGCTTATATGGTGCTAAGGAATCAAACCCATGCACGCAAGGCAAGCACTCTACCACTGAGCCACCTTCCCAGCCCATGCTTCAGTTATTTTTTAAATAGGGTCTTGAATTTACATTCAGGTCTCCTTAGACTGGGATTTTCCTATTTATACTCCCCAGGTAGCTGGAATGACAGGTGCCTGCTACCATGCCTGAACTTTATTCCTGGGATGGGGTCTCCTGAACTACTTATTTTTTTTTTTTGGTGGGTCGTGGGGCCTGAACTCTGGGCCTGGGGCGCTATCCCTCAGCTCTTCAGCTCAAGGTGAGCGCTCTACCACTTGAGCCACAGCACCACCTCCAGCTTTTTCTGATTATGTGGTGCTGAGGAATAAAACCCAATGCCTCATGCATGCAAGGCAAGTGCTCTACCACTGAGCCACCTTTCCAGCCTCTTCTACTAGTTTTTTAAATGAATCTCTCCAAAGTTGTTCTGTGCCAAAATAAGCCAATAAGACTGTACACGCCCAGTCCCTCCTGTCCGTCACAAACAGCAGGCAGCTGCTACGCACACATTCAGCTTGTTTAGCAGTTAATCAGTTCATCTAAGAGATAACTGGATAGAGTCAGCTGATTCAGTTTTAGAGTTACACCTGTGTGTGTGCATGCATGCGCGTGCGCACACACACACCCACACCCACATGCACATGTACCCATACTAAGTCTTGAACTCAGGGCCTGGGTGCTGTCTCTTAGGTTTTTCACTCAAGGCGGATGTCCTACCCCACCTTGAGCCACATTCTACCTGAATTTTTAGTGCTTAATTGCAGGTAAGAGTCTTATAGACTTTCCTGTCCTCTGGAGTGAACCTCAGTCTTCTAATATCAGGTACTTGAGTAGCTAGGATTACAGGTGTGAAACACTGGTATCCAGTGGGAGAGTGATGGTGTTTCTTTGGGGTGGGTGATGGTGTTTAGTTATATTGCCAGGCTGGTCTCAAACTCTTGAGTTCAAGTGTTCCCTCTACCTCATCCCCCTGAGTGCTAGGTCTACAGGAACCTTTTACCAGATGTGACCACATCTGGTAAAAGTAAGCAAGCCATAATTGTTTTGACCAATTACTTTTTTTTTTTTTTTTTTGTCAGTCATGGGGCTTGAACTCTGGGTCTGGGCACTGTCCCTGAGCTCTTCAACTCAAGACCAGGGCTCTACCACTTGAGCCACGAGCCACTTTCAGGTTTTCTGGTAGTTTATTGGAGATAAGAGTCTCAAGGACTTTCCTGCCCGAGCTGGTTTTGAACCGTGATCCTCAGATCTCAGCTTTCTGAGTAGTACGATTACAGGCGTGAGCCACCAGTACCCAGCCCAATTACCTCTTGCTGTCCTCCCTTCTCCCTTCTGGCTCTACCATGCTAATTCCTACAGACATCCTCTGCCTTGTCTCTGCATGCTCTACCCTGATCTCCAAGCTTGCCTTGCTGGCTCTCTCCCTGATCTTTGTTCCACCATCAGCATTCTCTGCCCCCTTCCTCCTCCTCATTACTTCTTTACTTGGGTTGTCTCTCCCTGTCTCTCTGCCTGTCTCCTCAAATAGGCTGTAGCAACTGGCACTGAAGGACCAGGTCTTTGATTCCTCTGGCTCCCTTGAAGCCCAGAGCTGGGCACACTGTGTTTTACAAGAATATTAGCTAAGAGGAGCTATTAAGTGGCTCAGAACTATAATCCTAGGAAGCAGAGATTAGGAAGATCTAGGTTTGAGGCCAGCCTGGAGGGGAAAAAGCAAGACCTCATTTCAAGCAATAAACTGGAGTGTGAGGGAGGATCAAGGCTGGTGGCTAGCCTCAGGCAAAAAGCAGACTTGATTTAAAAAATGAGCAAGAACAGATCTAGTAGTATAACTGAAGTGTTGGAATACCGATTTGTTAAGCTAGTGGCCCTGAGTTCAAATCTTAGTATTATTTACAAACAAACAAAAAGTACTAGGTACATGGTAACAGTGCTTGTGAATGCAGTTGCTTGGTGATTTTGCTAGGCCAGATACTGGATATGAGGCCTGGAGCTCTCCAAGATGGGAGAGTTCCCATCCTGTCCTGCCCTGTCCTGTTCCTGAGCACTTGGGCGGGTTGTGATGATATCCAGGTGTAATGGTGCATCTGGGTTCTGGTGTCTTTTTTTCCCCCAGTGCCGGAACTTGAACTCAGGGCCTCAACCTCAGCCTTGAATTTTCCCCTCAAGGCTGGCTTTTTCTGAGTAGTTTATTGGAGATAAGTCTCCTAGACTTAGACTTTTCTTGCCTAGGCTGGCTTCCACCGTGATCCTCAGATCTCAGCTTCCTGAGTAGCCAGGATTACAGGCGTGAGCCACCGGCGCTCCGTTCAATTGCTCTTTTATTACATTACCTTGGGCTCTTGTATTCATGGACTCCTTGTGCCCCGCATTTTGAGGGCCGTGGGATGCTTTGCCTGTACTGGAGTTGATTCCAAAATGTCCCCACACTGGCCTGCTGGTGGGGCGCCTTCTGGAGCTGGAGCTGGAGCTGGCCGGGGTTCAGGGGATGGGGCCTGGCACCTGGGGGCGGGGCCAGGGGCGGGACCGGCTGTCCTGGGGTGGGCGGGGCGCAGGGGGAGGGGCCAGCCGGGCACCTGGGGGCGGGGCCGGGCACCTGGGAGCAGGGGCGGAGCTAGAGGCGGGGCCGGCCGGGCACCTGGGGGCGGGGCCGGCCTCCTAGGACGGGCGGGGCGCGGGCCGGGCGAAGTCCCCAGCCTACCTGTCCCGCCAACAATGGCCTGTTGTAGAGGCGCGGGAAGGAATGCGGCCGGGGGAGTTGGGCGGCGCGGCGGGGCGGGGCGGGGCGGGGCGGCGCCGCTTGGGCTCTCACCTGGGCTCTCACCTGGGCAGGTAGCTCGCATTTCCCGGCGAGCGGCGCCCGCGGCTGCGGCGTCCCGGCGTGTGTGCGGGGCGCGCGGGGAGCATGGCCCGGTAGAGCTCCCCGGGACGATCGTGCGGGGCTCCGGGCCGGGCCGGGCAGGGCGAGGGCGGGACGCTGCTCCCCCGGTGCCCGCGCGGCCTGCGACATGAAGAAGAACCAGACGACGGTGCAGGGCACCTTCAGCAAACTCTTTGGGAAGAAGCACGGCCACGCCGCCGCCGCGTCCCTCTACGCCACCAACCCGCCCTGGATTTTCACCCACGAGGCCCCGGAGGAGGGGACCCGGCGCTTGGGTGAGTGCACCTCGTGGTGGCGCCGCTCTCGGGGGGCCCGGGGTCCGGGGTCCGGGGAAGGCTGGCACCGGGCAGGGGAAGGGACAAGCTGGGACCTGCGCGCGCGCCGAGGAGAGAGGGGAAAGGCCCGCAGCCGGAGGGGGCCCGGGCGCAGCCGAGAGGCAGAGCGGCGGCGGGGACACCCCATAGCCCAGGGAGGCGGAGAGGGGCCACCCCCACCACCATAGTCAAGTGGGAGGGCTCCGAGGTCCCCACCTGCAGTCCCAGTGCGTCATTCTCTCTCCTTGGTGGAGCTTGTTACTGTGGCCAGAAAGGGCTTCCTGCGGTTGTCCGTGTCTCCCCCACCCCACGTCGGCATTTTCTCTGAGTCAGATCTGGGGTGGGGGTGACCCTTGGGCTTTTCCTCTTCCTCCTCTTCCCAAGCTGTGCTGAGAGGCGCTGCCGTCCTGCCTGCCCATGCGACAGGTGGGAAAAGTCAACACTGGCCGCAGGTTGCCAGTCTGTTTGTGTGATCATGTCGTCTCCTGGGGACCTGGCCCTGGCCAGGTTAGCCAGGTTGTCTGTGGGCTGGGGGATGGACCACGGGGACATTCCCGCTCACTGCCTGCCCAGGAATCTGAGCTGAAAACACACTGGCTAGCCCAGGCCCAGCTGTGGACCCTCTCACTCCACATGGCCTTGCAGCTTGTACCCCAATAACCAGGGGACACCCGGGGGTAGGGGTGAGGAGGGTCACCCATCAGTGCCTTGGCCTTCATCTGTGTCTTCATTGACCTTTTTGGTCACCATGCTGGATAAAGGATGTCCAGCCTCTGCTGTGGACGCCGTTTCAGCCTCCAGTGCCCTAGTTAATGCAAGGCACAAGAAATGTCATCTGGACTAGGGAGTGACCAGGGCTCACCATTTGGCTTTTTTTTTCTTTTCTTTTTTTTTTTTTGAGGGGGGGGGTCCAGTCGTGGGGCCTGAACTCTGGGCCTGGGCGCTGTCCCTCAGCTCTTCAGCTCAAGGCTAGCACTCTACCACTTGAGCCACAGCGCCACTCCGGCTTTTTTCTTTTTGCTTATGTGGTGCTGAGGAATCGACCCCAGGGCCTCAGGCATGCAAGGCAAGCGCTCTACCACTGAGCCACCTTCCCAGCCCTTGGCTTTTTTTTTTCAATCATGGGGCTTAAACTCAGGAGCTATTTTGTTCCAGGCTAGCGCTCTACCATTTGAGCCACAGCGCCACGTCTGGTTTTCTAGGGTTTAATTGGAGATGCGAGTCTCATAGACTTTCTGTCTGGGAGGCAAACCACGATCCTCAGATCTCAGCCTCCTGAGTAGCTAGGATTACAGGCACAAGCTACCAGCAATTTGGCTCTTTCTGAACCTTTGCTGTAATTCTTAAATATATGAGGGAGAGGGAGAGGGATGCTTAGGGGGAGAGGGAGAGGGAGAACTTGAAGGGGAACTAATATTGATTGACTGATAGGTGCCAGTACAGGGACTTGAACTCAGGGTCTGGGTTCTGTCCTTTAGCTTTTTTTTCCACTCGAGGCTGGCATCCTACCACTTGAGCAACAACTCCACTTCTGACTTTTTTGGTAGTTTACCGGAGATTTGAGGTTCATGAACTTTCCTCGTAGGGCTGACTTCAAACTGCAATCCTTAGACCTCAGCTTCCTGAGTAGCTAGGATTACAGGCCCCACAGGAATTAGCATTTGAGCTGAGGGGAAGGGCACTCCTGATAGAACAATGGGAGGGGCAAAGGCAAGGAAGAGTAGGGCAAGGTGGAGGCTTGGCATCGGTACTTAGAGATACCAGGTACTGGTAGGCCTCCTTATAAGAGGGGACACTTCCCTTGGCCTGAGTGAAGAAGAACTGCATAGCAATGTTTACAAATCTCCTGCACACAAGGCCTCATTGTATAAAAGCTTTGGGTTGATTTGTTGGCAGGAATGATGGTGGTGGTGGTGGTGGTTCTTCTAAGGCTTGAACTCAAGGCCTCATGCTCTCACTGGACTTGCTTCCTGTCTCCAGGGGCTCTCTCTACCATTTGGGCCACACCTCTAGCTGGGCTTTTTGCTGGTTAATTGGATATAGGGTCTCCTGGAGTTTTCTGCTCAGACTGGCTTCACACCATGATCCTCAGATCCCAGCCTTTTGAGTAGCTAGGATTATAGGCGTGAGCCACCGCATTCAGCTCCAGGCACTATTATTAGCAATCTTGTTTGACAGATGAGGCACTGAGAGGTTACGTAGCAGGCTAGAGATGACACAGCTTTACTGGTGGATCTGAGATCTTCCTGGGTGTACAAGTGGGCGATATTCAGCTGACTTTTAGAGTTGTACTGTTATCATAAGTATAATTTGAGGAGATTTCTGTTAAGCCAGTGTTCTTGGAGAGGTACAGCTAGCCTCTGAACCCAGGAAGGACCCCTCTCTTAGCCAGCTGAATTCATTCTGAGGGAATTTGACACTTGGGGTGGGTGGCTGCTTCCTTCCCCAAGGTAGTTCCTCAGTCTACCCCTCTGGCCATTTCCCTGAGAAGGGTGTTGGTAGTAGCCAACTTGGCAGTGCCCTGTCACCAGTGGGTGGGGCAGCCCTGGGCACAGCTCCTCACAGGCCTCAGGGCAGGGCCGGGCCTCCAGCTGACTCAGCCAGGCTAGGTCCGCACATGGAGGGGGTGGAATCTGCATGCACCCAGCAAGTTGGCTCACTTGTGTTCTGGGGTGTTCCTCAGGGTGTCTGTGGGTGTGGCAGGGGCCTTCCGCCTTGCTATGCTTGGGTTGGAGAGGGGAAGAACCAGTGCTGGTTATTCTGAAATGGCATGATATGCCCACATTAACTTGGGGTTCTGTTTCTGATTATATGGTGCCAGCTACTCTCTCTGGGCCTCAGTTTTCTTCATGTGTAGAGTGTGAAGACTTCTTGGGGGACTGCCTGGGCTGGAGAGATCCTGCCAGCTCAGCCTCCTAAGTAGCAGGGACTACAGGCATGTGTCACTTTGCTCAGCTCATTCCCAACTTTGAGCACTGCCTATACCTGCCTGCTGCAGTTCCTTTTCCTTTTGGAAGTTGTGCGCCAGAGGAAGGAGTTTCAAGTTCCGGCTAGGTGTTGGTGGCTCACACTTATAGTCCTAGCTACTCTGGAGGCTGAGATCTGAGGATCACAGTTCAAAGCCAACCTATGCAAGAAAGTCCTTGAGACTCCAATAAACCACTCAGAAAACCGGACGTGGTGCTGTGGCTCAAGTGGTAGAGCACTTGAGTTGAAGAGCTGAGGGACAGCGCCCAGGCTCAGAGTTCAAGCCCTACGACCCCCCCCAAAAAAAAAAAGTTTTAAGTTCCATGGGGCGCCACATCTATGACACTCTTTGGTATCCTAGGTAGGGGTGAAGTGGTACCCAGCCCTTGGAGAACAGGCTGTGGATGCAGGGGGAATCCGGCTGGGAGTGTGGAAGGGAACTGAGGAGTAAACTCCCTGCACTGAACAATCTACCTGCACAAGGGTTGGCATCTGTGCAGCAGAGTAAAAATGCAAGCTGTCGTGTGCAGGGGGTGATGGGTAACTTTTTTCTGGAAAGAATCTCTGGGTCTTTGAATGCCACTGCAATCCTCATTAAGCCTCTGCCCAGCCCCAGCCCAAACAAGGGTCTTTCTTCAGAGGCTGGGCAATTTTCTTTGAATGTTTGAGAAAGCTGAGCTGTGGATATTTTGCAAATCTCCGATAAGAGACAAAGCGGGCCTTGCCTTGGACTCCTCGATTGCCTCAGATTAAATGAGCGAGGTTCTTTATCTCCTGCTCCAAACCCCCCTCCTTCCCTTACTCCAGCAACCAGATGCCTTGTCTGGGGACTCAGTTCTCTGCCATCTCTGCTCCCCTTAGGAAACTGTTTTCAAGTGCGGATCCATCTCAGACACCCAAGTCAGACTTGCTGGCCTGAGGCTCTGGCTTGTTAGGTTTTTAATCCTGCTCCCAGGCAGGTCTTCATATGGGATGATTGGAAACCCCTAGGAGCTGGGCTCGTCAGGACCCCTGACAACCCCTGCCTGGCAAGCTGCAGGTAGAAAAAGTGCCAGGAATGTGGTCTTAATCTGGAAAGCACAACAGTCCCCTAGGGGGAAGGTCTGTGTTTCTGGGGGTTCCCAGCCTAAAGGGTAGAGAGCCCTGTGCCCCCCTCGCTCCCCCCAGTACCTTTCTCCAGCTAGGGCCCAGCCAGTTCCAGCTCCAGGGAAAGCTGAGGCTTTCTGAGGTTTGCAGGTGTAGGAAGGAGCCTTTTTGTGTGTGTGGTGCTGGTCCTGGGCCTTGAGCTTAGGGCCTAGGTGCTGTCCCTCCCTGAAATTCTCTGATTCAGGGCTGGCTCTCTGCCACTTTGAGCCACAGCGCCACTTCTGGTTTTTTTCTGGGGGTTCATTGGAGATGAGAGTCTCACAGATATTTCCTGCCCTGGCTGGCTTTGAGCCACAATCCTCAGATCTCAGCCTCCTGACTAGCTAGGATTACAGGTGTGACCCACCAGTGCCTGGCTTGGAAGAAGATTTATTTACTCCTGGCCCCTGCAGGTAACCTGTTGGAGGTGTGCTGCACTGTGTGGGAAGTTCTGTGTACACACCTCTCTCCAGGGCCCTGTTACATGAGCACCTGTCTCTCTGTCTGTGTCTCTGTGTCTCTGTCTCTGTGTCTGTGTCTTTCTCTCTCCCCATCTCCCTCTCATGGCTCAACTCCAGGAAGCCGCCCCCCCCCCCCGCCCCGCCCCTTGACCCTGCAGATAGCCATAGTGTCCTTTCTCTCCCAGCCAATCAATTAATTAATATATTTGGGGGGGAGGGTCAGTAGTGGGGATGGAGCCCCGATCTCAGTCATACTAGGCAAGTGCTCTACCATGAGCAGCCCCTCCCCCCCTCTTTATTGTTACCATTTCCTGAACCAGGCCCTGGGCTAAAACCTACTCTTACACATCTGGATTGAGCGGTAGCATGTAGGGCACAGAGTCCTTGAATGGCTCAAAGTCAAGTCCT